TTGTCATCGTCATCATCACCATCATCATCATCATCGTCATCATTGTGATCATTGTCATCGTCATCGTCATCATCATATCATTATCATCATCATTGTCATTGTTATCACCATCATCATTATCGTCATCATCATCATTGTCATTATCATCACTGTCATCGTCATCATCACCATCATTGTCATCATCATCATCGTCATCATCATTGTCATCGTTATCACCATCATCATCATCATCGTCATCATTATCATCAGCAGCATCGTCATCATCATTGTCATCATCGTCATCATCATCATCATTTTCGTCATCATCATCGTCATTGTCATCATCATCATCATCATCGTCATCATCATTGTCATCATCATCGTCATTGTCATCATCATCATCATCATCAGCATCATCATCATTGTGATCATTGTCATCATCATCGTCATCATCATATCATCATCATTGTCATCGTTATCACCATCATCATCATTGTCATTGTCATCGTTATCATCAGCAGCATCATCATCATCATTGTCATCATCGTCATCATCATCATCATTTTCGTCATCATCATCGTCATTGTCATCATCATCATCATCATCATCATTGTCATCATCGTCATCATCATCATCACCATCATATTATCATCATCGTCGTCATCGTCGTCATTGTCATCATCACCATCATCATCATCATCATCATCGTTATCATATCATCATCATCATCATCATCACCATCATCATCATCAGCAGCAGCAGCAGCAGCGGGGCAGGGTGACCTCCTGGTTCTGTGGTTTCCCATCAGCAGAGAGTGACACCACAGAGCTCATCCGGACAGAACCAAGCTCAGCCGGACCGAACCGAGCTCATCCGGACAGAACCGAGCTCAGCCGGACTGAACCGAGCTCATCCGGACCGAACCGAGCTCATCCGGACTGAACCAAGCTCATCCAGACCGAACCGAGCTCAGCCGGACCGAACCGAGCTCATCCGGACAGAACCGAGCTCAGCTGGACCGAACCAAGCTCATCCAGACCGAACCGAGCTCAGCCGGACCGAACCGAGCTCAGCCGGACCGAACCGAGCTCATCCGGACCGAACCGAGCTCAGCCGGACCGAACCGAGCTCAGCCGGACCGAACCGAGCTCAGCCCGCCCCAGGGTCCCGCTGTCCCGGAGCCTCCCTCGCCCCCCGGGATCCGCGGTGTCCCCTCCGGTCCCTGTGACTCACCTCCCGCCCCGGGCTGTCCAACAACTCCAACCCCAAAGCGACTGAAGTTTGTTTATTGTGGTTTTTCCATCAGGGTTCCTTCAGGGAGAGTCCAATTAGCGCTAACGAGCGGGCTGGTAATTACAGCTCCGGCCCCGGGAGCACTGAGTGCTGCTCGCTGCGGCCCCCCCGCCACTGCCCAGGGGCCAATTAACGGACCCAATTAGCGGCTTTGTCAGCGGGCGATGCTCCCTGGGGACTTTCCATCAGCGCCTGTGCCGGTGGCGCTGGGGGGACGGTCCCCGAGTCCGTGGGTCACGGCAGGGACCCGCTCCCTGATCCCAGACAAACCTCGCCCGGTACTGAGCTCCTTCCCACCCCCACGGGGCTCGGGGACACCTCTGTCCCCTGTCCCCTCTCCAGAGGAGGCGGCTTAGGGTGTTTGTGCCTCGCTGTCCCTCGGTGCCCGTGCCGGGCTGGCCCTGGGCACCCCAGCCCCTCCTGCTGCCGGAGCTTGCTCCATCCCTGCGGATCCCTGAGCATCCCTGAGGATCCCTGCGGATCCCTGCGGATCCCTGAGGATCCCTGCAGATCCCTGCGGATCCCTGCAGATCCCTGCGGATCCCTGAGCATCCCTGAGGATCCCTGCGGATCCCTGCGGATCCCTGGGCCCACGGGGCTGCTCCTGCTGCCGAGAGCTGGAGCCAAGCAGAAACTTTCCTGTAAAAGTCAAAGTCACCCTCCCCGAGCCCAGCCCAGGGCTGAGGCAGTTTTAGGGGCTAAAAATGCCAGGGTGAAATGGAGAACCTGTGCCAGCGGCAGCTGCAGCCCCCAGCAGCAGAGCTGGAGATTGGGTGGTACCAAACAGGACCGTTTGTGCTGCAGGTCCCAGAAGGTCCAGGCAGAGGATGGGGGGAGCCAGGCAGCCAGAGCTGGACTTGCTGAATCCCTGGAATTTGTCACTGCTCACCCAGCTCCTCTCTCCATCCACAGCTGGCTCTGTGTGGTCACTGTGCTTGAGGGGTTTGTCCCAGCACTGCCCGGGGAGCTGCAGCCAAACCAGAGTCCCCAGCCAAGGAGCTGGGAGCAGCTGGGACAGTGGGAGGTGTCCCTGCCCATGGCAGGGCTGGCACTGGATGAGCTTTAAGGTCCCTTCCAGCCCAAACCTTCTGTGACTCCATGATCTTGAGGTGCCGTGGTGGTTCAGGGATGCTGACATTGCAAAGGCTTTGCAACTCTGCCCCCAGCTGTGGAGGGAGCAGAGACCCTTCCGTGCATGGCCGGGACTGGGGTCACTTTTGGGGACACCACTGTCCCCACCCCGCCCCTGCAGGGACCCCGTGTCCCCCCACCCATCCCAACAGCCAGCGGGCACCCACCCCCACCCCAGCACCTGCAGGGGTGAGCTCTTGTTTGAACACTTCACCCAAAGGAGATTCAAAATGAGCAAGTGAGCCCTGGCTCAGAGAATCGTCCTGAGGCACAGCTGGAATAATCCTGAGGCACAGCTGGAACTGTCCTGAGGCACAGCTGGAACCGTCCTGAGGCACAGCTGGAATCGTCCTGGGGCACAGCTGGAACCGTCCTGGGGCACAGCTGGAACCATCCTGAGGCACAGCTGGAATCATCCTGAGACACAGCTGGAATCATCCTGAGGCACAGCTGGAACTGTCCTGAGACACAGCTGGAATCATCCTGAGGCACAGCTGGAATCGTCCTGAGGCACAGCTGGAATTCCATGATTTCCAAGTGGTATCTTGGAAGGGAGCAGTGCACTGGCCCAAGGAGCCGTTGCCCAGACCCCCCTCCCTCACCCGTTGGTTTCCTGTGATTCGGCTGTTGCCGTGTCAGCGTCAGGCGGCTGGTCCAGGTTCCCTTTCTGGAGAGAGAGCTGGACCTTCCTGGGGGACAATTCACCGCACTCAGCTTCACACCTGTTCTGGGATGGGAGAAATCTTCTTCTGTCTCTCTGAATCTGAGCCACCTTCAGCAGCTTGTGAGCTCCTGGCTCCTGCCCCAGCAGTCTGCAGATTCCTTCCTGGATCTGCTTCACCTTCATGCCGTAAACGAGAGGGTTGAGCATGGGAGGGACCCTCAGACAGGAATTGGCCCCCAGCACTTGGATGTGAGGTGCCAGGCTGGGTGTGAACATCTGCAGGGACATGGAGAGGAGCCCGCCTCGGTACAAGAGCAGGATGACGAGAACGTGGGAGCAGCAGGTCCCGAGGGCCGTGAGCGCTGTGGGGCGGCAGCCTCAGCACAGCGCCGAGGATCCCGCAGCAGGAGGAGGTGATGAAGGCACAGTCGCTCCCCTTGAGCAGTGTGTTCGTGCTGGGGCTGTAGCGGTGGCTGTAGAGTCAGCCAGGCCAGCCCCAGCACGGCCGTGTGCTCGCAGCAGCAGTGAGGGATCAGCAGTGAGGGATCAGCAGTGAGGGATCAGCAGTGAGGGATCACCCTGCTGAGGAGGCACACCAGGGGGATCATGATGCCAGCTCCCCTGGCCAGGGACACCAATCCTGCCCCCACGGCCCTCGGGCAGCTCAGGATGGAGCCGGACTGCAGCGGGGGCAGATGGCCACGTAGCGGCCCAAGGACGTGGCCAGGAGCAGCCCTGAGTCCACTGCGGCGAATGCGTGGGTGAAGAACATCTGGATCAAGCAGGCCTCGAGGTCAATCTCCCTGAGATCCAACCAGAACAGCCCCAGCATCTTGGGAGCGACGGCAGTGGAGAGGACGAGGCTGATGACAGCCAATGAAACAGAACATGGGCTCGTGCAGGCCTCTGGCCAGCACCACGGCCAGGAGCACCAGGAGGTTTCCCAGCACAGCCATGATGTAGCTGATGCAGAATGGGATGGAAATCCACCTGTGGAAAGCTTCCAGGTTGGGGATGCCCATCAGGAGGAAAGAGGGAGGGTTGGTGTTGGATGGGTTGGGGGCTGACATGGCACAGATGTCCTTGTAGCTCCCTGTAACAGTGACAGGAAGGTTGGGATTTCGGCTACCATCGGTGTGACCACAGTGCCCATGGCATCAGGGAACTTTGTTCTGTTTCTTTGGGGAGAAGTTTTCAGAACCTCTTACTTGCAGTCAGGCTTTGAACTGGTGCTGTCATCACCACGTCCCAGAGGACTCAGAATCCCAGAATGTTCTGAGCTGGAGGGACCCCCAGGGATCCCCCAGTGCCCCCCTGCCCTGCCCAGACCCCCCAACAAGCCCAGCCTGGGCATCCCTGGATGCTCCTGGAGCTCTGGCAGCCTCGGGGCCGTGCCCATTCCCTGGGGAGCCTGGGCAGTGCCAGCAGCCTCTGGGGAAAGAAGAGCCTTGCCCTAAAAGCCAACCTAAATCCCTGCTGGGCCAGCTGCAGCCGCTCCCTGCTGCTGTCCCTGTGGCAGGAGCAGAGCCCGGAGCTGTCCCTGCGCTGCCCCTCGGGAGGATGTTGAGGACTCCTGTGAGGTTTCCCCTCAGACTCCTCTCCTCCAGCCTTTGCCATGTCCATGCCCATCTACAGGCTGGCACCACGGTGTCCTGCCCTGCTGTGGCTTCCTGCCACTGTTGCCACACTCAGTGGGCAGAAATGTGGCATAATTCCAGAATCTCAGAATTCTTTAGGCTGGTAAACACCTTTAAGACATCAGGTCCAACCTTAACCCTGAGAACTGCTGAGGCCACCGAGGACCCCTGGCTCTTTGGCCCCTGCCCAACCTTCAGAAACATTTCTGTGGCAGAGAAATGCGAGTCCTGCCTCCTGCTCAGAGAGAGGGCTGGGCACGTCCAGGTCACACAGGCTCATCCTGATGTTCCTTTGGGCCGTGCAGAAGCTGCGGTGAAACCAGGCTGAGACAAAGTGCAGGCAGAGCTCCCTGCTGTGGCCTGACCCCGAGGGACACGGGCACCCCTGGCAGGGCTGCCTGGGAGTCCCAGTCATGGGGAGCCCCGTTAAAATGGTTCTGCTCCTGCTGCACGCTCACCCACGTGTGGGACTGAAGGCCAAACTGTGCAGAGCAGGTCCTGTCAAACCTCCTGCAGTTACACCAAATTTACAGGATTTACTGAATGATGCTTGCCTGGAAGGAATTGGGCTGTCCAGGTTTGTGGGTCTGGAAGAAATGGCACTGTCCAGGCTGGGGGGCACACAGAGCTGGAGGAGAATGTCCATCCACTGACCAACATACAAGTCTGATCCCCCTCAGGGTTATAACCTCTGCTTGTCCTCCTCTTTAACACCATCTGTCTGCTCCTCCTGGCCCTGGCATCCTTCTCCTGCCTTCTCTTGGCCAGAGAACCCTTATGGCAGAGCCCTTGAGAAACTAAAAGATATAAAATGAACGCAAACTAAAGGCCCAGGGCACTGCAGTTTCTCATCTCCACTCACCAGTTCCAGTGTCTCCCTTACTGAGGCTTTTGTGCACATTGGCAAGATTCTGTGACCTGTAAGAGCTGGGAGCTGTTGAGAAGTCAGATAAAAGCAGACAAAGGCTTCTGTCCTCTGCATGGAGGAGGAAGGTCCCGGCCTCCGTGAGAGAAAGAAAATCAGAGAACTTTATTTCTTAATGTCATTTATTGGACTGGCAGCCTTGAACGATGTCAAACACCCTCTGCTAAAATATGAAACAAACACAGCAGCTGGCTTGGATCATTTACAGACGGGAGAAATATCTCCAGGGGCCTTTGGTGGGCCCTGCCCAACTTCCAGGAGCCCCAGCAGGGTGGGCAGTGCCCGGGATGTTCTCTGGGGAGCAGGGACACTGATGCGATCAGCTGAAATTGCCACCCTGAGTCAGAGCCCAGCACAAAGCCCAGGAACTCAACAGGTGATTTGCTCAGTAGGGAATGAAAGGATTGGAATCAAATTGAATTCCAGCAGTCGATGCTGGCTGCAGGAAACAGCTGCTGCCAAACAAACCCAGTTCTGTTTTGTGCTGAGGGAAAGGTTTTGTCAGCGGGGTGCGAGCCCCAGAGGCACCTGAGGGAGAGCTGCCTCTGCCCCGCTGCTCTCAGGGAGGAGCTGCCACAGGGACACTCCTGGCAAATATCAGGTGATTCACAGACCTCAAAATGAAGCTGTCAGAACCATCATAAAATCACAGAACCTACTGGTTTGTGTTGGGAGGGACCTCAGAGCCCACCCAGTGCCACCCCAGCCATGGCAGGGACACCTCCCACTGTCCCAGGAGCTCCCAATGTCCAGCCTGGCCTTGGGCACTGCCAGGGATCCAGGGGCAGCCCCAGCTGCTCTGGGCACTCTGTTCTTCCCAGCACCCAGCCAGGATGCCAGGGCCCTGCCTGCCTCCTTCCCCTCTCCCCAGTCCCCCCTGGTGCCCCCCGTGACATAACCCAGCCCATTTCACCAAACTCTGCCTGCTGGGAGCCCCCAGCTCCACTCCTCCCCATCCCAACACCCGCTCTGGTGTCAAGGCATTAAGAACATTTTCCATGGCTGAAAATCCAGTTTGTGTGAAAATCTAGAAAATGCATATTCAGCTAATTATGGATTAATTATACAATCAGAAACAAGTCAATTCCTTTGTAGCAGTTTCTGGGATTAGTTAAAAGGTTTGTTGTTTCTTTGTTTACTTTTTTAAACCCCAGTCCTATTTTTACCTAAAAAAATACTTAGAGAGTCAGAATTCCACAGTGTTCGAATGGCAGTTTGGTTTGATAAGAAAGTATGAAAAACTACTTTTAGAAGAGATTTCCAGCTGCTGCCTGTTTTCCTGGCTCTGTCCCACTGTGCAGGCTCCAGGCTGGATGCTGAAATCCTCCCAGCCCTGGCCTGGGGCTGTGCCCGAGCTGCCACCAGCACCCACCTGGCTCTGTCCATGCTCATCTCCACCCTGGGGACGGCCACACCAGAAAGAAACAACTGCTGTGCTCCAGGGCTGTGCACAAATCACCCTGGGAAACGCCAGTGGGAGTATCTGAGATGGGGATTCCCAAAGGCACGAGTCCTCTCCAGGCTCCTCCGTAACAACCTCAGCAGGGCCAGAGGGGAACAGCCTGAATCCCTCATCGTCTCATCATCTCATCTCATATCTCATCTCATCTCATCTCATCTCATCTCATCTATGGGTGGCATGTGCTAGGAGATCATGGAATGATTGAGCTGGGTTTGAAAGGACCTTAACGCCCATCTCATTCCACCCTTGCCATGGGCAGGGACATCTCCTCAGCCCAGGCTGCTCCGAGCCCTGTCCAGCCTGGCCTTGATGGCCCAGCCAGACAGGAATGTGCCACACAAGTTGCCTCCAGCAGAACTAAAAGCCCTCTCTTGTGTTTGCCTGGAGAATGCCGGAGCAGTTTCATTCACAGTTCTGTTGGCTGGAAGCCTCTGCTGGCTCTCAGCACCAAGACCATGCCATGGAATGGGATATCCGTGCCCCCACCAGGGTCTCTCTCCCACGCCCCAGGCAGTGTAAACCCAAAATGTGCAAATTCAGCATAGAAAAATGTGCAAATTTAGTGCAGCAGAAACATTCTGCCAAGTGGTTTCTGAGATGTCAGGGAGGGTGCTGCAGAAAGGCACAAACACCACAAAGACAGGAAAAATACGTGTGAGGTGAAGAATGACAGATTCAAAGCAGTTTTGAAACAGAAAGCAATCCACTGAGCTTTAATTTTAATGTAGAAGTGAAGACTTAGGGAAGGCGCTTTGGGTGGGGTTTGTGGCAGCTGTGGTGGTGTTTGTGGTGTTGGGCTGTGACTGGAACCCTCAGATCACCCTCATGGCCGTGGCACAAACAGTGATTTTAGGGTGGAATTCATAGGATGGTTTGGGCTGGAAGGGGCCTCAGAGCCCACCCATTCCCAGCCCTGCCATGGCAGGGACACCTCCCACTGTCCCAGGAGCTCCCAATGTCCAGCCTGGCCTTGGGCACTGCCAGGGATCCAGGGGCAGCCCCAGCTGCTCTGGGCAGGGTTGTTGCATCGTGGAAGCTCTCGGACATCACCAGGCTGCTCCAAGCCACCCAGAAGAGGTCAGAGGGATGAACTGTGATGCACCCAGCTCTTGCATTGCCATGATTTTGGGGGTGACCTGTGGAGCTCTGCCCCAGATGTGTCTGGACACCCCGTGTCTGATGATTTCCTTCGGGATCCTCGCATTAATCAGTCATTAGGTTTGGAAAAACTCTCCCAGGCCATCAAACCCAGCCATTCCCCCAGCACTGCCATCCCACCACTAACACATGTCCCCACACGCCACATCCACACACTGCTTGGACTTCCAGGAATGGTAATTCCAGCACTTCCCTGGGCAGCCTGTGCCAGTGCCGGAGCACCCGGTGGATACAGCCTCAGCCCTCCACTCCTCTTCCACCCTCACAGCCAGCTGGGTGTCTTCCACCCTTGGTGATTCTGTGACTCTGCAGGGACAGAGGGCTTTGGAGGGTTCAGTTTTGGGTGTGCTCAGTTTCCACCAACACCCAGAAACCTGGAAAAGCTGGTTGGGGCTCAGCCAGAATCCATGATCCTCTCAGTCCCTTAGGCAAGAGGGGCCAGAGAGGAGAACCGCTGGGATAGCCCAGGGGGGCTAAAGAAGACAACACAGAAGAAATCTCTCCATCTGGATCAGGATCTGTGCATTGGCACAGATGTGCCTGGAGCCCTGAAATTATCACAGGGCTGTTGCTGGCACTGGGAACATCTCTAAACTCAAAGGTGGGTTCTTGCTGCTCCTAGCACCTGGAGAGGAAGAAGGGGAAGAAGGCCTGGAGTGTGCTCTTGCTCCCAGTCCCAAATACCCTCGTTATGGAGCAGGGGTTCATTAAAGCTCATTAAAGTTCATTAAAGTCCTCCCGGCCCCTGCTCACCTCCCGCACTCCCTGGGCTGCCTTGGCAGAGACGAATGCTCCTGGAGAACCACGGACCCCTGCACCAGGCACAAACCCTCCTGGGAGGAGCACTTTGAGCAGGGCCCGGCGGAGCTGCCGGCTCCTGGCGCTGTACACCAGGGGGTTGAGCGTGGCGGGCAGGGCCAGGTACAGGTCGGCCAGCAGGACCCGCGTGCCCGCGGCCACGGCGCCGGGGAACCGCTGGCAGTAGATGGACACGATCCCGGGGACGTAGAACAGCAGCACCACGCAGAGGTGGCACCCACAGGTGCTCAGGGCCTTCCAGCCGGGCTCCTTCCCCAGGACAGCTCTCAGGATCACCCCGTAGGACACGGCAATGAAAGCCAGGCCCGTCCCCACTACCAGGGAGGACCAGGCCACGCTGTAGGGGCCGCTGGGCCCGGGGCCGGCGCAGGCCAGGCCGGCCAAGGCCAGGTGCTCGCAGTACGAGTGGGGCACCGGGCGGGAGCCGCAGTAGGGCAGGGACGTCACCAGCACCATCAGGGGCACCGTGAACAGGAGAGCCCTCAGCACGATGGCCAGGCCCACCTGGGCAATGGCTCGGCCGGTCAGGATGCAGCGGTACCGGAGAGGGTGGCAGACGGCAAGGTAGCGGTCAAAGGCCACGGCCAGGAGCACTCCTGACTCCTCGGCTGTCGTGGAGTGCACCAGGAACATCTGCACAAAGCAGGCCACGGAGCCGATCTCGGCAGAGCCCAGCCAGAGGACGCTCAGCATCCTGGGGATGACAGACGTGACCATGAGCACGTCGACGACTGCCAGCATGCCCAGGAAGCAATGGCTGGGGGCCTGCAGGGCCTTGTCCAGCCCCAGGACCAGCAAAACCACCCCGTTTCCTGCCATGGCGAGGACGTAGGCGGAGCAGAAAAGGATGCCCAGGCAGGTGGAGAAAGCTTCCAGGCCGGGGACACCCAGCAGGATGAAGGAGGAGGAGCTCCCGTTGAAGGGATCAGAAGCCATTCAGGAGAGTCTTCATTTGTGTTTAAATATATACACCAGGTTTTGAGTCCTGAGGTACCAGGGGGATAAGATGGGGACTCTGCACCAGTGCAAGGGCCAGATCAGGAATCCACATTATTATTAGGATTATTATTAGCATATCACCCCTTCTTCATGGAAAGGGAGCTCAGGCCTTGGCAGGGGCTGCCCAGGGAGCTTTGCAGTGCCCATCCCTGGAGGTGCCCAAGGAAGGGCTGGACGTGGCACTCAGGGCTCTGGGCTGGGGACAAGGTGGGCATCGGGCACAGCTGGGACTCCCTGGGCTGGGAGGGCTTTTCCAGCTCCAGGATCCCGGGATTCTGAGGGAGACCAGCTCCCAGCTCCCAGGGAACAACACAAACATGAGAACACTGATTTTTTTATCTGTTTTTTCAGTTGTTTGTCCTCCTATGACTTAGACATAATTTCTGGTCTTCCTCCAAATTTGTAGAGCAAAACAGTGCTCTGGGACATTAAATGTGATTGTGAAATTCCCTTTTGCTGCTCTGTTTTCCTTCTGTCATCCACCCATGATAGAAGCCCACAAAGGCAGGCAGGAAGAGGAAAATACCAATTTCTGAGGGTTTGTTCAGATGGGAGAAGCTTGAAGGTAACATAGAAACTTCAGAGAACTGTCCTGGAGGGACAAGAAGAGTCTGAGTGTGGTGGGCAGGATCTACACCTTGATTTGTGCTGAAAATGTTTCTGCTGCTTCTCCCCAGAGAGCAGCAATGGCCAGGCAGTGCTGACACACCAGGTCCTGCTGACACACCAGAGTCACCTGGGGGATCATCCACCAGGAGCTTTCCAGTACAGAGCAAGCTGTCCCTGGCAAGGCACAAACTCACACAGCCTTAGCCCAAACACCTGGGAGTTCTCTTCTTCCCTCCCCTCCCATCCCGGGCTGGCTCCTGGCTGCTGCTTCCATCCCTCCCCTCCACAGTCACAAACTCAAGGTTGAGCACATTTATTTTTCATCAGTATAAAAACCTAAGGTGGGAGAAGGAGACCCAGAGCACCTGGAGGATGAGCTCAGCAGGATTCTGCTCTCCCACACTCCAGTGCAGGTGGGAACCACGCCGTGTTCTGGGCTCTGTCTGAGCCCCACCCTGGGACATGAGCTGTGCCTTTGCACATCAGCACCTGCTGCCCAGAGGATTTCTGCTGTGAGAGCTCCTGCACACGGTCTGAGGCTTTCCCTGGCCTGGAGCCCTGAACGAAACAGCGCTGTGGGGCTGTTCCTGCTGGAGCCCAAACCCAAATCACCTTGCTGGAGCCCCTTCTGGGTGGGCACCCCACCCACGGGGTCCCTGTCCCTGTGTTAGGAAGGAAAACCAGTGCTGTGTCCCCTCCAGCCCCTGGGAAAAGCAGGAAGAGCTGAGACTTGTCCTGTTCTACAGGGAAGGCAGGCACGGAAGGGTTAAAGCAGGCTGCTGGCACTTTGGGAATGGGATGCAATTTTCTCAGGCACTTGGATCCTCTGCTTTAGCCAAAATACCAAAGGGCCAGAGCTCACTGCCCCGGCTTTCCAGGCATTTGGCTTCCCTGACCCCAGAACAGTTTCATCTCTCCTCTGAGTCACTTTGAGTCCTGCCCACAACACAAACCAGGAGGTTTTTCAGCCTGGCTCCAGGCAGGAACACAAACCAGGAGGTTTTTCAGCCTGGCTCAGTCATCGTTGTTGGCCACATGGGGCCGAACACTGCAAAGCCAATATTGTGCCAGCGCTGCCCAGATGATGGTGTTGATGATGGTTTATTGCTCAGAGGATTCTGTTTCCAGCCTGGCAGCTGTGATCCTGCAGCTGGCACAAGCCACTCCAGCAGGGAACATGTCTCGTGTGGGAATTGTTTGTTTGGAAAGGGCAAACATGTCTGAGATCCTGTAATCCTGAGCTTGGGAAAAAACAGCTCCTCCCAGTCTGAGGTACTTGATCCTCTGGGCAGCAATTTCTGCACTTCATCCTGGGTAACAAAGTCCTCCAGGTTATTAAATAATGCTGCTCAGCCAGGCTCAGCTTTACTGGGCCCTTCTGGTTCACAGTGCTGCTCCAGCCTTATTTCCTTATTGCAGAATCCCAGACTGGTTTGGGTTGGGAGGGACCCCAAATCCCACCCATTCCCAGCCCAGCCATGGCAGGGACACCTCCCACTGTCCCAGGAGCTCCCAATGTCCAGCCTGGCCTTGGGCACTGCCAGGGATCCAGGGGCAGCCCCAGCTGCTCTGGCAATTCCATCCCAGCCCCTGCCCACCCTGCCAGGGAACAATTCCTGCCCAAGATCCCACCTAAACTGACTCTGCCTCAGGGAGGGTCACACTCACACAGAGGTGTCCAGGATCAGGTCCCAGCCCATGAGAAGCATCCCACCTGGAGCTGCTGTCCCTTCAGGCTCAGGGGCACCTTCTGGCTGTCCACAGCTCCCTGGCAGGAGGGTGCAGCCAGGTGGCTTCGGGCTCTCCCACTGCTGTAACTCCAAACTCACCCCAGATCACCGTCCCAGTGTTTGGATCTTGCTACAAGCCTGCATCTCACCAGAGCTCAGCACTTTCCCAACTGCCCGTTCTCTTCCAGGCACCTTTGCCATCCCCAGGGGTGCACAAGCACGAGGGATGGACAGGAGCAGGGAATTGCAGGTCAGCCCAGGAGACAGGAGTGGCAGATGTCACCCTGCGTGTCTGCAGCTTGTCTGAGCTGTGTTTAACCAAGGAAGAGCCAGGTAATTAGCACTGCTGTAATTAACCTAAATGAGGCAGCCAATGGTGGCTGCAGGTGTGTGACTGTGACCACAAAACTCACTAAATCTGGGGTGTCTGGAGGTGATGAAGCAGCTCAGTAACTCCATCAGAGCCAAAGCCCACGTAGATATACTGGCACTGCTGCCTGGCAGCTTTTCTGGGAGGATTCTTTCACATTCCACCTTGGCTCGGCTAAAGCTTGAACTCGGCTCAGAGCATCCACTGCGCTTTAAAACCCTGCCCCAACACCAGGTTAAAGTCAAAAATACATACCCAGGTTGGTGTGTGTCCTGATCCTGTCTGCACCTACAGCACCTGCAGGTCCTGCTCCTCTGCCACGAGCAACACCTCAGCCTGCAAAAATACCTGCATGGAAATGTTCAGGTGCCTTAAGGAAGCTGATCTCCCTAATCACTGCTGGGACTTCAGGGACTGAATCATCACGGGGGAGAAGCTGCTGCCTGGGAATAGCCGGGAAGAGAAATGATAAACAAATGCACTAATTCCACTGCGTGGGTGATGTCTGTGCCAGCACCAGGATGCCAAACAGATCCTGGGTCCATGCAGGGGGAGTATTTTAATCCTGGGTGGACTTGGAGCTGCTGGAGAGAGCCCAGGGGAGCCACAGAGCTGCTCCTGGAGCCCTCTGGAGCCAGGCTGGGAGAGCTGGGGGTGCTCAGCTGGAGAGGAGAAGCTCCAGGGAGAGCTCAGAGCCCCTTGCAGGGCCTGAAGGGGCTCCAGGAGAGCTGGAGAGGGACTGGGGCCAAGGGCTGCAGGGCCAGGAGCCAGGGAATGGCTGCCAGTGGCAGAGGGCAGGGCTGGATCTTGGGATCTTGGGCAGGAATTGTTCCCTGGCAGGGTGGGCAGGGGCTGGGATGGAATTGCCAGAGCAGCTGGGGCTGCCCCTGGATCCCTGGCAGTGCCCAAGGCCAGGCTGGACATTGGGAGCTCCTGGGACAGTGGGAGGTGTCCCTGCCATGGCAGGGGGGCTCTGGAGGGGCTGTTCCAAACCATTTTGTGATTCCATGATAAAACCAGGACAAGAGCAAATGGCCTCAGGCTGGGCCAGGGGAGGCTCAGGGTGGACAGCAGCAGGAATTTGCCCATGGAAAGGGAGCTCAGGCCTTGGCAGGGGCTGCCCAGGGAGCTTTGCAGTGCCCATCCCTGGAGGTGCCCAAGGAAGGGCTGGACGTGGCACTCAGGGCTCTGGGCTGGGGACAAGGTGGGCATCGGGCACAGCTGGGACTCCCTGGGCTGCGAGGGCTTTTCCAGCACCAGGATCCCGGGATTCTGAGGGAGACCAGCTCCCAGCTCCCAGGGAACAACACAAACATGAGAACACTGATTTTTTTATCTGTTTTTTCAGTTGTTTGTCCTCCTATGACTTAGACATAATTTCTGTTGCCTGAATTAGTTATTGATGTGTGGGGCTGCTGCAGAGCTGATTCACAGATCAAACACAAATCAGCAGCACTGAGACATGCTGAAGATAATGAAATCCATAATATTTCCACTGATTTAATGTTCCTATCCCTTTATTTCCCGAGGTCTTAGAACAAGAAACTGCAGAATTGGAATATTTATAAATCTGTGCTTCTCCAAAAGGTGATTCCTCAGAAGGCACAGGAGCAAACCTGGCCTGTTTCACTGCTGAATCCCAGATCCAGCTCTTGCCATCCCAGCCCAGCGGGTAGGAAATCCCCACAGCAGGTGGCCCCTGCTGCCCTGAGGGTCACAGGGTTTGTGGGGTCTGTCTTTGCTTCCCCCAAGGTGTCCTCAGCAGCTCCTTCTCCAGCACAGGGCCCACCGCCAAGGAGAAGGCAAAAAATACAAATACCATATTTAAATATATATATAATATAAATAAATCATATAAACAGTCATTTTCACACCTGTGGGAGGTTCCTGATTTAGTTGTGCAGGAACTGAGCTTTGCACATACAGGAAAGGATGGAATTGGGTTGTTTTGAAGCTTTTTATGGACCTCCCTATACCCAGAATACTGGATATAGGGATCATGGGAGAACTTGGAGATGCTGAGAGATGAACTGGACAGTCAAATTCAGTGTGGATTCATTCCTTTGGGGGTGCACCTGCTCAGGTGGGGGCTCTTCAGGGATGCAGACCCTTCAGGGAGCACCTGGGACAGTGGGAGGGGTCCCTGCCATGGCAGGGGGGCTCTGGGTGGGCTCTGAGGTCCCTCCAGCCCAAACCATTCCAGGATTCCATGATTTTGTGATGGGTCT